CTTCTGAGCTGACATATGGAGTACACACTTCTCCATTTACAAGTTTCTCTGTAATAAAATGCTTGTCCACTTCAATGTGTTTCGTCCTATATTGCAGGGCTGGATTAGTAGCAATATTGATGGCAGTTTTATTGTCACAGTAGAGTGACATAGGATTGCTCACTGCAAAACCCAGTTCACCTAACAGATTTCTTATCCACATGATTTCAGCAACCCCATGAGACATCGTTCTATATTCTGCTTGAGCACTAGATCTAGCCACCACACTTTGTTTTTCACTTCTCCATGTGACCAGGTTTCCTCCTACAAAGGCACAATACCCACTGGTAGACTTTCGGTCATCGACTGCTCCTACCCAATCAACATCAATATATACTTCCACCTTTAAGTGACCATGTTTCTGGAACAACAAACCAGCTCCGGGAAACTTCTTGAGGTATCTAAGGATCCTCTTTGTAGCTTCAAAGTGAGTTGTACTAGGATTGTGCATGAACTGACTAAGGACACCCACTACATAAGCAATATCAAACCTGGTCATAGACAAATACAAGAGTCTCCCTACGAGTCTCTGGAACTTCTTCACATCTTTCAAAAACTCTCATTGACTGTCTCCCAGCTGATGATTAGATTCAATTGGTGAGTCAATTGGTTTTACCCCTAACTTGCCTGTGTGTTCTAGTATCTAGTACATATTTCCGTTGGGAAATAAAGATGCCCTTGTGAGAGTGGGCAATTTCAATTCCAAGGAAATAACGYAAGGGGCCTAGATCTTTCACCTTAAATTGAGTGGTTAAGAATTTTTTTAATCTCCGTATTTCAGCCTCCCAATCTCCTGTGATCACTATGTCATCCACATACACAATAAGAGTTGCAATTTTCCCTTCACCTCTTTTTACAAATAGAGTGTGATCTGACTGGCATTGTTTGAACCCCATCTGTCTATTCAGGTTTAGATAAAGCTTTTGCCACATTCTTAGGAACGGGGACACTGTCCACAGAAGAGAGGAATGCACGAAATGAAGATAAAATGTGATCATAGGACACAAAATTAGAGATAGGATGATTAGTGGTACAAGATCTAACACCCTTTCTCTTAGCAATAGGAACATCAAGATCATTGATGACAGGGGAATCAACATTGAGAGGAACAGGCATATCAATAGGAGCAAGTGTACCTGGCTGATGAGACGGATCTGCCTCTGGCGAATCCGATGATGTTGGTTGCATAGTGTCAGGTTC